TGGAAAATAAATGGGGGGGGGGGAAACTGCAGAGTCATGGAGATCCGAGGACGCTGAAATTGAGGGCATGGAAAGGAACGAGGAAACAGGTACGACTACGCGACAGAAGAGAAAGGAGGAGCAACAGAGCAAAACACAGAAGGAGAGGGGAAAAGAACTAGCGAGTAAGGTTGAGATAACATCACCGTATTTACTGGAATAGAAGCAAATTAGGTGGAGATAACATTACCATATCTACTGGAATAGAAGCAAAAGAACATTTACTTGAAACTTAAATAGGAGATCCGAGGATGCTGAAATAGAGGGCATGGAAAGGAACGAGGAAACAGGTACGACTACGCGACAGAAGAGAAAGGAGGAGCAACAGAGCAAAACACAGAAGGAGAGGGGAAAAGAACTAGCGAGTTAGGTTGAGATAACATTACCGTATTTACTGGAATAGAAGCAGGTTAGGTTGAGATAACATTACCATATCTACTAGAATAGAAGCGAAAGAACATTTACTTGAAACTTAAATAGGGATAAACTAAAGCAAAATTTACATTATTACAGCCAAGACAAAGATAAAATTATATAATTAATATAGAAATATAACTGGCAATTTAACTAAATGGCTACTGGTGGCACAGGTACAAAAAAATCATCCTTACCATCACCAGGACAGCTAAGTTCGCAAACACAACTCAAATTGAACACCACGATTGCACCTCAAATGGCAATCAAAGACCTGAAAGCACTTATCCAGGAATGTATGGCTCAGTCCATCAAAACAACAGTAGAAGAAATATTACCGGATTTACTAAGGAAGGAGTTAGAACCTATTCAAACCACAATGGGAGAAATTATTTAAAAAGAAATGAAACCGAAACAAACAAATATTGAGCAGGTAGCTCAACAGATTACATTAGAAACTGAAGGCATAAAGAAACAGATAAATGAAAATAAACAAGAGATTATGAAAATTGCATCAGCACACAGTAATACAGAAGATAAATTACAGGAAGTAGACCAAGAAGTACAAGAACTAAAACAAAAAACACAAAACCTCCGTCTTACCTGGATTCAGATGCAGCCAACCATATAAATATGGTTGATCAAGAATATACTTGTACTATTGGTGCAGATTATGTGTTAATGTTATTTTTAAAAGAATTTCCTCTGAACTATTCATTAAGATTTCTTAAACGAGATTAATTTCAGTTTTCTTTTCTGTAATTCTCTTTTGGTAGCAAATACTGAAAAGGAAACTGGGATTTCCCCCTCCCCTGCACATGAGATATTTGATATGTTGCCTGATGGCACTCAAAGAATGCTACCATTACCAGCTGGGATTCTCAAGTAGTTGTAGTGACATCCTAAGCATCATACTGAAAAAGGATACATCTGGTTACTTCCTCAAAATACTGATAAGTGGAAGTTTGTGACAAGAAAAAAAAACCCTGTCCTTAGTGCTTATACGTAGGAACACTATTAACCCATATCATGATAAATCAGTTGAAACTCACAAACTGACCACATGATTTCGGACTTCTTGCCCTGCACCCTCAAGAAATAGTCAATTCACACATGTCCATATGCTATAATTCCTCATAATTTATGATTCATAACTGAATGTGTGAATTGATAGCAGTTATAAGAGGTGAGTTAGATGTTTTCCTTAACTGTTGGCAGGATGAAGCCCTCCATTCATATAGAAAATAGTTATATTAAAGTTCTACTTAGGAAAAGAGCATCTACATCCAGTCTGAATGCTGGAAAATGTGACACAATTAGAGATGTAAAATTTTTGGAAATTTTGAAGCCATGGGGTGGAAGGAACAATATTTCAAATTTTTGAAACAATGGAAATTTGGAGGGAAATTGAAATATGTGTGATATTTATTGTCCTATCAAATTGAAACTTTTTTTACTGCTTTCACAATATAAAACGAATCCCTGATAACTTACTTGAAATATAAAATTGCAAAATCGGAATTACTTATGGAATTTAAAAGCTTACTTACTGTCCTATCAAACTAATTTTATTGCTTGAACAACATAAAGTGCATCATTTATACTTTACTTAGATAAATTTGTTATGCTTGACATATGCATGGAATTTAAACATCACAAATACTTGACATAAAACTACAAGCAAATGCATCCTATGCTACCTTAGTGTGTGTACTTTCATTTTTGTGATCTGAAAAGTAGAAATAATAAGAGTAAAAAAAAAAAACACAAACCCACAAGTGTGTGGTAGATATATATTATTTTCTCCAAAAAAGGGTCACACACTCAGAATAAAACTAGGAGCATATTTGGATATATAATGGAAACTTATAACATTAAAGCATTGAACTATGCTGCATATGTCTATAGCATGTTCACTTAGTTTTTAAAAATGTTTCACTCATTGTAAAAGAAAAGGGTGGGAAATGAAAGGAAATTTTTTGGGTAGGTATTCCCCAACATTTCCAGTTTTTCAGGGAGAAAACTGAAGGACGCAACTTTGAAAAAAATAGGAAACTCCCCCCCTTTCCCAGTTTTTTCTTCCCGGCCCTTCACATGTTTAGACTCACTGCATCCCCTACCGTTCTGATTTGAAATCTTCCCATCTGGACATGGATCGCAATCATAGCAACAAAATTTCTCTCCTTCTCTCTTTGTCTTCTGATAGCCAGGATGGCAGAAGTCATTGCACACAGAATTGGGCACCGTCTATCCCAAAACGTGAAAGACATTTAGGGCATTACTGTACTTTTTATAAAATGCAAACAAATTAGCAGTTGGAGAGAGATTTCTTTTTTCTCTTTCTTTCTTTTATTGTGAGTTTCATCGATGCTCAATATTTGGAGACAAGACAGAAATAGCAGGCTACTTAGTCCAGCAACTCATTCCAAAGGAACAGGAATGGCCAAGTAGTGGTCAGTTGTGATACAGAGATGTTCATTCATTTGTTTTAATCTGGCTTCCTCTCAAGCCTACCAAATATTAATGAAGGCAAGGAAAGTATGTCACACTGAGCATCTGAAATGAAGTAATATAAAATATTATCCATATTGTTTCTGGTATTGCTTGGGTTGGGTGAGAATATCTTGAGGACCAGAGTAAAGAACATACATTTCCAGTCTTCTGCTTCCTTTGACTATGGTTTACATATATAGTAAAACATTTCAAGGAGATATTTGTCACTTGTGGTTTTTTTCCCATCCTAATTTTTGAATCAGTTGGTGGCTCTGATTTTATATCATCCATGACAGGGAATATCCAGACCTTCAAACCACATCTGGTGTACTCCCATTACCAGCTATATTCTTTAGACAGGCTTCTCCTTACATTGTACTCTCTCAGGACTGCCTATATGAGCTAGGCCATGGGCTTTTACCCACTGTGGGTCCAGAGTGGTCATGGGAGGTATGTTCACTTATTATATTCAGAAAGCATATAAGGCTGTGGTCACAGACACTAAATAATCCACTTTCAATGCACTTTCCAACTGGATTTTGCCAGTTTACACAGTAACATCCAGTTGGAAAGTGAACTGAAAGTTGATTGAAAATCAGAGGTCATTTCGGGGGGGACGCAGTTCCCCCGGGTGAGGTACGGGGGCGGGGCACATGAAGAAGCCCCGCCCCCTGCTTCCGGCCGCCCTGCTTCCGTCCCTCATTCAGCCAGGAGGAGGAGTGGAGCTGCAAGGCCGGCGGTGGCGGCTGGGACCATTGGGGGCGGGGTGTGTGGCCTTATGACACATTTCCGGTGATGTCAGGGGATGTGGCCTTATGACACACTTCCAGTAATGTCAGGGTGTGTGGCATATGCTAATGAGTTATGCTAATGAGTTCCCCTAGCTCTTTTTCTACGAAATGACCCCTGTTGAAAATAGATTGTTTAGTGTGTGTGACCCCAGCCATTCCCCCCCCCTAGAGAGCATTGGGAAAGGTAGATTGTTCTGGTTGATTTGGCTTTTAATTTTTCTTTGTTTAAGATTTTCAGTACATGCATTTTTAATTTTGTTCATTTTAACCATTTTAATTAGATTGCTATGTTTGTGCCCTTGAAACTTGATGTTTCATGACCTTCAGTCTGCGGAGATACGGCAGGGTATTGTGGAGGAAGTCAAAAGCATTAATGAAGTGAGTGAAACAAAATGTAAGCAAATGAAACGCCAGCCTATCTGCAGAATGGAGTGTCTATCACCAAAGATGTTCTGGAAGCTGTACCTTGTTAAAACCTGTGTGCCACTCAATAATTTCTTCCTGGATGTTGAATTGGCTTCCTTCAAGAGCATCAGCATCTACTGTTCCAACTTTCACTCTGAGGAAAGAATGGTTGGGGAAGGTGATCAAGTTCATTATGTCGAATGCAGCTCTTATTTCCTTCTTGCCATTAAAAGACAACCTTTCTCCAGCTGAGTTGTTAAAGACAATGTCTTGCAGAAATGGGTGAAGCTGTCAAGAGTAAAGAAAAAATGAAGGCTGCTTGCCCACTAAGATCCTGAACATCAATGACAGCTTGTTAGAAGCAGGGGGGAATGTAATACCACCTCACAAAATGAGTGGCTAACTTGTACTGATATGAAATGTGGTGGCAGACACTGGCTTGAATGGGTTTAAAAGGGTGTTGGACAGAGTTGTGGGGGAAATGGGTCTGTTGTTGACTGCTAGTCATGGTAACCATATGGAAGGGCTGAGTTCAGAGGAAGAATGACTCCAACTGTGGTTGCATGCTGTGGAGCATTTGCTTCTGAGCTGCTCTGTAACAGGTCTGACCTTCGTACAAAATAGAATGGTAGATTACATGGACCATGGGTCTGATTCAGACTGACTAATTTTCATTATGTATGTCCCTATCTTGAAAAAAAGTAATTCATCTGAAAAGGTAAACTTTTACTTATTTCACTGATACCGTGTGTTTCAGTCCAAATGGGACCCAAAGTGGCGTAGTTCATTCTGCTCTCATCAATTTTCACCCTCATGCAAAATTGTGTAAGGTTGGTTAGGTCAGTCCAAGTTCATCCATCAAGCCTTCATGGCACAGCTGGAATTTTAACCAGATCTCCCAGATCCTAGTTCAACCGTCTAACACTACGACATTATAGCTCTCCCATCCTATATATGTATCTAAGCCCTAGTGTATTGGCATTTTCCAGCTCTCCCATTGGCCTTGCTGTGCACCCCATTAGCCATTGGCCCGTCAGCTGTCACTCAAGAGTACTCATGTGCCATTGGCTGGGTGCTGGGTCTGTTTCCCTTCCCCACCCACTGCCGGCTTGGCCAATCTTCCCTATCAGAAAAAAATGCCAAAATGGCTGTCTCTCCTGATGAAGATGCTTTTCCTGCTTGGCTCCTCCGTGGCCAGATGGCTGGCTATTGAGTTTAGCCACTGGCCATCAAATCATTCTCTTCTCCTCCTTCTGTGGGGCTTACTTTCTCCACAATGGTTGTTGCTAGGCAACAAAGCTTGGTTCTGTCAGTAAAAAGACAGGGGCAGGAGGCACTTTCCAGGCCTTCTTTGGCTAGGGTTGCCAGCATCAGGTTGAGAAATTCCTGTAGATTTTGTGTTGGAGTCTATGGAAGCCAGAGTTGGGGAAGAGGAGAGGCCTCAGTTAAATCGAATATCATAGATTCCACCCTCCAAAACAGTTATTTTCTCCAGGGAGAGAGAGATCTGTTGTATGGAGTTTAGTTGTGATAGCAGGCAATCTTCAGGCTCCACCTGGAGGTTGGCGACTATAGCCCTGGTAGCACCCTCTGGATGACTTGATGACACCTGACTGGCATAACTTTACTAGGCCTGACTGCTTAGTCCTTTTCACCAGCATCAGCCCCCCAGGACAGCCAGTGTGGTGTAGCAGTTAGCACTTCAGAGCAGGGTCTGCTAGACCCAGGTTCTTTCTGTGGAAGCTGAGGTGGTGATTTCAGACCAGTTGCAGACTTTCAGCCTAACCTACCTCACAAGGCTGTTGTGCAGTTCAACAGGGGGAGAGAAGAATGCTGTAAACTGCTTTGGTCCTCACTGTGGAGAAAGACTGTACTTTTCCTAGGTAGAAGCTACAGGGAGGCTAGAGGAGATTGAACACTAAAATCACAGTGGCAGATAAAGGTAGGTTGATGGTTGACTGGGAAGGAGATAGCGTTGCCAACTCCAGGTTGGGAAATTCCTGGAGTTTTGAGCCTCTCCCCTCCAAACCAGCCATTTCCTTCCAGGGAACCATTGCTGCCAATCTTCAGGTTTGCTACTTTATAGAGTCTATGTTCCAGTTTGTTTTCTAGCCAGGTAAAAAAGAGGGCTGGCTGGTTACCACTATAAATATAAATATAGTGTTCATGGAGAGCATTTCAGCCAGCAAAATATAGGAGGCAAATGGAACCAGAACTAAGTTCTAAAAAGTTCTAAAAAAATAAAAAATCCTAACAATTTTTTTAAAAAATAATATTCCATTCAGGTTCATGTTGCTTTGTAGGGTGGACTCTGTGTCATTATACCCTGCTGAGGTAGCTTCCCTCCTGCTTGGGTCCCCACTGCAGAGAAAGACTATACTTTTCCTACATAAAAGCTGGGGGGGGAAGGGAAAGCTGAAGTCAGAAGGGCAGATAAAGGTAGGTTGATGGCTGGCTGGGTAGGAGATAGAGTTAGCAACTCCAGGTTGGGAAATTCCTGGAGATTTGAGAGGTGGAGCCTGGAGAGGGTGGGTTTGAGGAGGGGTGGAACCCCAGAAAGGTAAAATGTCATAGACTCCACCCTCCAAACCAGCCATTTACTCCTGGGGAACTGTTGCTGCCAATCTCCAGAAGAGGGCTGGACATCACTCAGAATTACAATTGTTGTTCAGGTGGCAGAGATCAATTCCCCTGGAGAAAAATAGTGGACTCTGTGTCATAATATTTTGCTGAGGTCATCACAGCAAATTGATGCTGAGTGTCCAAGGCCAGGGCACCCACCCAGAATCTCTTTCTAGAGATCATTGTATTTATTTCCACAACAGGCCTTATTCCTAGTATGCATATAAAACCCCTCTTACATTTTTTTGTTTGTTTCTTTTTTGTTTGTCTTATATAAAATAAAATAAAATCATTTGTGAATAATTTATACAAGTGCCTGGAAAAGGGGGGCAAAGAAGCAAAATGTAGCTGATTCTGAAACATGGTTCCTTGTTCAAATAAACTAATATGCAGATACATGTTTGAGGTACATCTCTGAAAAGCTTTTGCCATGAAGAAAAAGGCATACTTAACATTCTTTCAATGCAGACATTTCATTGTGGAGACATTACCTGCCAAGGCCAGAGCTCCCGAGTTTCACCTCTTTGGCTACCGACCATTATTCTGTGATTGGATCTGTGTGTGGACATGGCATGTAAACTATGTGCCAAAGCATAGACCGCATTATAGATACTGTAGCTATGTCCAGTCATGGGCATTTCAAAAACAGAATGAGGAAGGCTCTCCAGCTTCTCCTCTCCAGTACATGTCTTTTTGCTTGCCATTGGACTCTGGGAGTTAGGAAAAGAACAGTCAAAGGCTTGTTCCCAAAAGTCTTTCAGAAAACCATTTCCTTGCATCTGGCCAGGTCTTATGTTCTGAAGAAAATTCTGGAAGCCAGCAACATCACGAGAATGAATTGTGAAAGAAAGAATACTTTCCAAGTAGTTGAAATTCCACATCCTTTGAAGAGTGACTAATGCAAAATCCACTTGGGCTGTCACTATCCACACCTTCCTGAATCCATACCTTTCCTCATCTCCCATATAGTCAAAAACCATCACACTGATCAATGACATTATAGTCAAAGATCCCCCATAGAGAATAAATGTGTTGCTTTTGTGGTCTGCAAAAGTCTCATAGATCTGTGAGACTGAACCAATTAATTCTTGTGCATTCTCCCATTTCATATGGCTTGGGATTCTCCCAGTGGATGCCAAGCAGATTCTGTTCTGGGAAAGCAATGGCTCCAGGGTGCTCAAGAAATGTTCTCCGCTGTCTTCATCTATAATAATGAGCCCAACCCAAGTCCACCGGAAATGGAGGAGCAGGTCAATGAGCCCAGTAGTCTGGTGGACTTCTTCATTAGGCACCATGCGGTAAAAGGGAGGGAACTCTGTTACATCTCTCTCTTCTGGGGCAAATGAACCATACGTAAGCTAAAAGAAAAAGTTATTTTTTTTCTATTGGAATATTCTTAGGGATGCACCTATTTATGCAATTGTTTTGCTAAACCAGGTGCAAGTTCGAGGAGGACTAAAGTACAGGATCTTTTCTATCTATGCGTGTAAGGTTGTTTTTTTTTAATCATTCGATTTATATACCGCCCTAACCCCCCCCATGGGGGTCTCTGGGCTGTTTACAGTTTGTAGTGCTAGTCACTTTGTAATTCCCTAACTATGGGCACATTCTCAGGGGTTGGGTAAGCCTACCAGCACCCCGGTGGTGGCGGCTCTCCCTTCTGGCCTCCGGCCTCCGGCTTCCTCGGCTCTCAGTTGTCTTCCTTCGGTCAGCAGGATGTCTCTCTCGTGGCGCTTCTCCGGCGAGGCAGCTTTCTCGGCGTGTTGACTCGTCTCTCCCGGCCTCGGCTCTGTCCAGTAGGCTCCGCCGCGCCGGGAGATGACGTCTTCCATGCCTTCTGCTGCTAGCAACGTCCGCTTCCTGCTGTATCTCTGCAGGCCACCAGGGATCACTCTACTGGCTTCGTCGTTGTGCCACGCCACCTCGTCTCTGCTGCCAGGATTCCGCCGTTGCCGTTGCCGCCATCATCGTTGTTCCTTTGCCACTGCCGCACACCACTGCACACCACACTCCTTAGGATGAGGGGGTGCCCCCTATCCTACTAAGGGTAGGTGTTGTTCCTTTGCCACCGCTGCACACGGCTGCACACCGCACTCCTTAGGATGAGGGGGTGCCCCCTACCCTATTAAGGGTAGGTCCCCATTTATCTACTCACCCTTTAACGGGCTTTTGAACCGCTGGGTGGGCGGGAGCTGGGACGTAGGCTGGGAGCTCACTCCGGCCACGGTGGGGCTCGAACAGATGTTCGGCCAGATGTTAAAGCAGGCTGCATTTTTTACACATTGTTACAATATAACCAAATTTCTTTGAAATGGAAAAAGATCTGCTAACAGATCGCTCTATTATTGCGTACTTTGTTCTCTCCCCCCCGAGCCATTTTTTTTAATTTATTGTCAAATGAACCATACGTAAATGAGCCATACGTAAAATGGGGCAAATGAGCCATACGTAAAATGGGGCAAATGAACCACACATAAGCTAAAAGAAAAAAGTTATTTTTTTCCTATTGGAATATTCTTAGGGGTGCACCTATTTATGCAATTGTTTTGCTAAACCAGTTGCAAGTTTGTAGAGGACTAAAGTACAGGATCTTTTCTATCTATGCGTGTAAGTTCTGCTCAGTTTTTACACATTGTTACAATATAACCACATTTCTTTGAAATGGAAAAAAGATCTGCTAACAGATCGCTCTATTATTGTGTACTTTGTCCCCCCCCAGAGGAATTTATTTTTTACTTATTGTCAATAAATGTCCATATAATCTTATTCTGACACTAATAATTCTCCCTCTGCCTGAAAGATAATAACTCATAGAAATGAAAGATGGCAATTTGTCAGATCTCTCATCCTTCCATGTATGGTTCTTACCTGTGGGATTTTGTAGAGACCTAAGAGGTCTGCCATATGGAAAGAGATATCTTCATCGAGCCCCCCAATGACAGCTACGAGGTTTTTCCGTGTATCACAGTTGTAATTAGGAACAGATATATGTGATTTGAAAAGCAAGTCAAGGGTTCTATGGTAGGTCATCCTTGCATTGAGATAACTGTCATAGATTTGAAACCCAACAGAGACATTGGGCAAGATCTTGGGATTCTCATTGATTTCCTTTATGGCAAACACCAAGGCCAGGACATGCTGGTAGAACTTTGTCACATATCTTTTAAAAAAAGAGTTAAAATAAATTTCATACATGACTTCTAAAATACAGCAAGATAAATATATATGCCCTGGAAATTATAAAATTGCGACATGACACACATTCTCTCCCCCCCTTCTCTGTTCCCCCCCCACACACTTTGGCCCTGTCCACACGAGGGGATTTGGGCTGGGAGTGAGCCAGATCGGTGCCGGAGCAAACGGGCGCGATCCCACGTCAACATCTGGCTAGCATTGCGCTCCCGTCTCTGATCCGGCCCTTCCCCCGATGAAGCGCTTCAAAACTGAACCACCTACCTAGGTGGTTCATCCAATTGGTCTGCATCAATGCTGGCCGTGGGATCGGTGGGGTGTCTTGCCGCTGGCGCATCCCCGGCCCCCAGCCGAACTGCGCATGCTGGGGAGCAACGGCGTGCGGTGCACGGGATCCGTGGGATCCCGCCCGCACGTCTCTTTTTTGATGCGGCTCTATTTAGCCGTGCTTTGCCAGGTGTTTTCCCTGCCGTGTGGCAGGGGCCTTTATCTCTCTTGCTCTTTAGTTAGTCATGTGCAGACGGCTTGTTTTGAATCTTCAGAACATTACAGCAGAATGAATCCCTCAGGACTCTTCAGTTATATTAATCCATATCTCATACTGAGGCAAACCACAGATCCTTTAGCACCAGTTTGTCTTCTCAAGAGTGGCAGCAGCTCTCCGTGTTTCCAGCCTGTGGTCTTTCACATTGTCTTCTGCATTGTGTTCATATGTTCAGGGCACTGTGTTTGTTCCTCTGGCCCAAATCACACATACTGAAAGAGATGTCGCTGTGTAACTCTGCATTTCCTCTCCACATCTCCTCCATTATGACTAATCTTAAGGTTGGGCATTCCTCTTCCCTATAAATGGAAGCCCATGAACACACGGACCTGCCTTATACTGAAACAGACCATTGGTCTATCAGCACTGTCTACCAAGACTGGCAGCAGTCCTACAAGGTGTTAGGTGGAGGTCTTTTAAATCACTTAGTACTTGGATACCTTTTATTGTTACTTACTTGGTGTCTCTGTTTTCTCAGAGTAAAGGGAATCTCAAAAATGCTATAAATAACTACACCTTCAGTGCTTTTGATTACATAACATCTTCATGAATTGTGTGTTTATTTTTGAGATCTGGATGTTTATCCCTCCATACCTGTGCAAGACTAAAGAAAGAAAAATTGTACGCTAAATTGAGTGTGTGTGTGTGTGTGTATGAGAGAGAGAGAGAAAGAGAGAGAGAGATGATGATGATGATGATGATGATAATGAGAATGATGATGATGATGATATCCAGTTTTTAGTTAGGTGTTATCCAAAATTCTTTAGGAAATCTTTTCTTAATATCCCTTCCCATTCTTCAATGTATCTATTAAATACTTGGCTCTTCCAAATTGAGCATGTGAAGATTTAGTTAGCAGTAAAAAGAAACATCTTGAGATAACACTGCTGAAAAAGTGGATAAATAAACCTCAATAGAAAAGATCTTTTCTGTTTAAAAACTTCAATAAAAATTCATATTTTAAAAGTTAAATAAACCTTAGAGTATTAAGCACCCTAGCAGTTTGAAAGTAAGAAATTGCAAGTTGATAAATAGGTACCACTTCGGTGAGTAGGTAACAGTGTTCCGTGCACCTCAGTGTTTAGTCATGACCATGGAAATGTCTCCAGGCAGTGCTGGCTCTTCGGCTTGGAAACTGAGATGAGCACCGCCCCCTAGAGTTGGATTTGACTGGCTTCTAAGCAAGAGAAACCTTTATCTTTACCTTTAATCTCACATAGAAGTATATACACATCAAGAGTGGCTTTTCCCCATTCCTTTTAGAATGAAAAAATATCATGAATTGAAACTGTGAATAGAAGGCATGAGGATTGTCAAGCACAGCTGAAAACCTGGTGGACATATACAAGGGGGGGAAAGCACTAATAAAGGTTAAGAATCTGGAAATCTAAATGAATTTCATATAAAGAGCACAATGTCAGATCCACTTAAGTCTATTATACAAATCAGCCTTGAATCTGTTCTTCTAAGTATATGCCTCCCCCCCCCCCTTTATGGCAGTAATCTGTTACCAGCAACTTTTCCAATATTCAACGAATATCTTGTCTGGAGTTTGTTTCCAGGGTATTGTCATACAAAAAGCAGCTATACCTCAAGAAAGCTACTGGCAGATCCATAACAACTTAAATGCTAACGTGGAGCATTTGCACAAGTCTTTACATCTCTTTCCAGTCTCTATTCAAATTCTAGCACCCGTATTTATCTGTGTGTTTAAAGAAACCACCTGTTCATTTAAACTTGTTTTCATTTTTTAAACATTTTCTCCATGTTCAGATATTTCATGGTCTCTCATAAAGTTGACAATGGGAGATTGCGCTGCTTTTCTTAATTTGACCGTTAGTCACAAACAGTAACTTTCTCTTTTCTCCATTTTCAATTGCTTTTTTTAAAAAAAAAGGATAGTGACATTAAAGGAGGAGAAACCCCATATGTACTGTAAGCAGCGGAAAGGAGAAAATCTGGGGTGGACTGAAGCTGCAGGCTTTTTCTTTAAACACCCTGTTGGTTCTTTACACAATTCCTATATGTTCTAAATTGGCAACACTCACGATTCAACAGGAAACAAAACCCTTACTGTAAAGACGTCTCCCCTGATGGCTGATTTTGGAATGAAGGAGTGTAAAAATGTGCCAGAATCTGGGAAACGATGCCACCAATAAGGAGGTCCCCTGACTGGTACTCATACACAATAGAGCTCTGCATAGAAACTACTTGGTAAATGATATGTGGCCACCAAGTAAGTAAAATACTCGGTCTCATGATTTTGTCAGCAAAGCTTCTCTCAACAGTCAGACTCTCCTGTGACCATCAAAGACGGAGAAGGCTAGCTTGGAGGCAAGATACCGCTGTGATGATTCTCAATCACAGGAAATATATCTATAGCTAAAATCAACACTGCATAAATTTGTGTTTTAATTAGCGATCAATCGTCTGGCTTTTCAAAGCAAAATATGTGAGATCTAACTATAGGAGTTTTGCCATCCCTTCTCTTTGTGGCAAAGGAGGGTTCTTATAAAACATTTTAGGCTTGTTTTCAGGTACTTTCTAAACAGTCATCAGCACTTTAGTCACTGAACGCACTACAGTGATGAGGATAATTGCAAGAGAGATAATTATACCTTACACTGGTGGTGCTCTGGGTACCATTTTCCCCCACCAATTCTGACTGAGACTTTCTTCTAATCTTTAAAAAAGCAGTTAATAAGATGTTGGTTCAGGTACTCCCTTGGCAAGAACCAGCAGCAGGAAATGCAGCCCTTGTGATGAAGAAACTAACATGATAGGGAACAAACAAAAGTATTTCATTTCTAGAAGAGATTTATATTCTGTCCCAAACAATTCAAGGTAGCTAAATATTTTTAATGGTACTAGATCCCCCAAATAAGACTATGGAACAAGAGTGTAGGAATTTAGTTTATCAGTGGCTGATCTACCTTAAGTAAATATCCCCAGCTTAATAAAAGTTGTTAACGACCACACTACTGTAGATGTGGGCCGTGGCTCAGCTGAAGAACTTCTGCTTTGCATGCAGGAGGTTCCAGGTTGATTTACTGGCATTTCCAGTTCAAAAGAGGCAAGGCAGTAGGTGATGTGAGAGACCTCTACCTGAGATCCTGGAGAGCCAGGGCCAGCCTGATTGGACTCTACTGACTTTTGAGAGGCTGTGATTCAGTGGTAGAGCCTGAGGTCACACTCACACGCACAATTAACCATACCATAGCCACGAATGCCAAGTTGATTTAAAGGGTGTGATCAGACACGAACATCTGGGAAGTGCCCCGCACCCACTGGCAACCTGTTTTGTTCCACCACAGAAGTGGGGTAAAAAGACACCAGGGAAAGTCCGGTAGCAAATGGGTTGCTATGGGCCATGGATGGACTTTCCCTTGTCTGATCAGCACACTCTCATGGCATTGGGATGGCCCTATCTATACCTTGTGGCTAATAGCCACTGATGGACCTCTGCTCCATATGCTTATCTAATTCCCTTTTGAAGCCGTCCATGCTTGTAGCTGCCACCACTTCCTGTGGCAGTGAATTCCAAGTGTTAATCACTCTTTGGGTGAAGAAGTACTTCCTTTTATCCGTTCTAACCCGACCGCTCAGCAATTTCATGGAGTGCCCACGGGTTCTGTCTATAATTCTGTCTATAGACAATTTCATGGAGTGCCTACGGAGCCTTAGTTAGTTAAAGGCTCCGAAGCCGGGGCGCACCGGGGCAGAGCCTCTTTACCGGCCCTAATTGGCTGGAAATTGAGGGACCTAGCAACGCCACCGGAACTTCGCAGAGTGATGAAGCGATCGAGCGATAAGAAAAAACAAACATCGGCAGCAACTGTGAGTTGGCGATCGAAACGAAAGTAGCATTTTAAGCGCACATGTTAAATCTGGATGCCCTTGTTGTAAGTAAACCTGCTCTGGCACCCAGCTTTCCTTGTGTCATACGTGGCTTCATTAATCCTCACCTGCACCTAAACAGTGTTGAAAGTTGTTAAACCATCTTCTCCCTCCCCTTACATGCCATAATTCTACATAGAAGAACCACCATTGTCAGATTAATAACAGAGATGCTGTGACTTTTTTGAACAATAATTGTTCCTTGAAAACATAGAACAGAACAGTGTTTTCTGCTGGGTTCTTTTCTCCTGTAATTTCTGTTGCCCTCTGCTGGGTTGGACTTCTGGCTCCTTTCCCCTTCCTTGGGCCTAGTAAAGGTTCACATTTCACTACAATCTTAGGTTTATAGGCAGAAAAAATAAGCAGCTAGTTTGGAAACTTCAGAAAGGGCTGTATGGGCTTAAGTAAACAGCTAAAACCAGGAGCTGCGGTGGCTCAAGTGGTTAAGACGTTGAACTGCAGGCTGTGGAAGGTCAATAGTTCAGCAGTTCAAGACCCGGGTGCCACATGATGGAGTGAGCTTCCGTCTCTAGTTCCAGCTCCTGCCAACCTAGCTGTTCGAAAGCAAGAAATTGCAAGTAGATAAATAAATAGGTACCAATTCGGTGGGAAGGTCACAGCGTTCCGTGCGCCTTGGTGTTTAGTCATGCTGGCCACATGACCACGGAAACGGCTTTGAAACGGAGATGAGCACCGCAAGCCTAGAGTCGGATTCGACTGGCTTTCGAGCAAGGGAACCTTTACCTTTACCTAAACTGCTAAAGCCTGGAATGACAAGTTGAAAGAAAGGGGACTCCATCAAGGCTTTGGACAGCTTAAAACTGATGCCAACCTTTATAGTCAACACAAAGATGGAAGACGTACATTGGTTGGATTATTTGCCACAAAATTATGGTGCTTTCACACACAGAGTATAATGCACTTTCAATCCACTTCCAATGCACGTTGCAACTGGATTTTAACTGTGTGAAATGGCAAAATCCACTTCCAAATGCTCTGTGGACCTCACCTTGCCATGCTGGCAAGTCTGAGCTCACCAAACAGGATCCAACTTGCCTTTGCTCAGTGCTGGAAGAGTAAGACAATTATTCTATGGAAAAATATTCTTTAGATTAAATGTCCATCTGCTTTTGTCTAGTACAATGAATGTGAACCCTAACATATTCTGTTGAGACAAGGATGTGAAGGGCAGACGGGTGGACAGGGAGGAGGAGGAGCTGCCATCATGTAAACCATGAAGTTGGCAATGATGCAAGTTGGCGGGCAGGTGGGGGCTAAGGAACTAGTGAGGGGGCAGCCTGGAGAGGCAGTAACATCAATGGGTTTTGACTAGAGGAGGAGGGGTGATGGAGTAGCAAGGTGGTCGGAGAGCCTGGATCTCACCAACCTTTGG